AACACTGAATTGAAGAGTAATGTTAAAACCCGAGTATGTGATGAAGGATGACTCTATGTGACTGATTTCAATGCAGCTCTTTTAGACAGTACAGTCTGTTAGGATTGCGTGTGGCTGCATAAACCTGAGTGGTGCCTGACTGCAGATGATATCAGAGGAAAAGAGGAGGTACAGGCTTCCATCTAGTGGTACATTTGAAGAAGCGCTATATAAATTATCATGAGTTTTTAGGATTTATTACAACCTTATAAATATCTTGTTATTTAGGCAACAAGCTGAATCACAGAAAAGACACATTTGGCATCAAAGGCACTCTTTTTTGTAACACATGCAATTTAAAATCCCCTCCAGTGTCTTTTTGTACTTAAATAGAGCAGCTTAGGTACCTAGAATTGCACATAGACAGTATTATCAGATTCTTGGTGAGGGATTTAAAAAGTACAAAATAAACTTGTCTTGTCAAAACTCGCCATGTAACTCGAGCTCAGACTGGATGTTTGTGACTCAGTTGTGTTATCACAAAAGTCACTAGGCTCACTTCTTTCTGTTTCCACACTCTCAGCTTTTTGCAGGCACAAACTTGTGACGTTCAGATTCAACCACCATGATTAATCAGATTTCAAGCTGCATTTTATTTAGTAGTAGTCCTACCAAAGAGCAGTAAATAGGATTATAGTAACAGTTACCCTGAAATGCAACTGATGCTGTGAACAGTGATTCTTTACATAAATGGTCGACAGAGTGCAATATTTTTATCAGAAATTGTATTGATTGTTGGTATCTGGCTGTACTTATTTCTGTTTTTGTATTTAGGGATTTCAATGTAATATTTTATAGTGTGCTTAGAGAAATAATTATTCACTGACACCACAAAAAATGTTTCAATTGTGCTTTAATATTATAAATATAAAGTGCTAAACAAATATAAAGTGCTTTAATGTTTGAACTTAATGTAAAACTTCTTACTAAAGCGTTAGCATTTTGTGAACTACACTGAATATTCATGGTATTTTCCAATAGTTAATAATACACTGCTGTCATAGCTGCATATAATCAACATACATTCCTGGTAATAAACATGCAACTATTGCACCAGCTAATCCATATTTCTACATCTTTATTATCTCTATAGTGAATACACTTCAAGTTTTAGTGAATACATTCAGATTGTATGAACCTCTCATGCACTGTATTTGATAATAAATATCAGTAAATAAGGAACTCTTATCCAAACTAGGGATGCCTGCAGCAGAAATTGTGGTAAAAGGTCAGTGTCAGAGGGAACACTCATGAACAGAGACACGAATAGAGACAGAGTGAAATGCATGAAGGTAAAGAAAGAGAAATTGAAGGACAAAGAGACAGAGACATGTAATAATAGTTCAGTGCAGTGTACAGAGAAAGAGGCTTAGGAAATGAAAATGAAGTATGAGTCACTAGGAAGAGAGTAGAGTAGTGAAGGTTTAAGAACACACAGAGTGGAAATTTGAGAGAGAATGGAGGGGATGGAGAAAGTCACATGGAAGCATATCCTGTGGCCTTTCAGGCAGAGATAGTGCAGATGAAAGGGCATAATTGGAAGATGATGGCCAGAGATGGGAAAGTTAAGAAGACTGTGAGATACACCTGGGTAGTTATGATGAGGTAAAATTTGCATTAAGTGCACGAGGCTTAGAAGTGCCTGTGCTCTAGCATGCCACTTCGGTGGCCTTTGAGACACTCTGGTTCACACTGGAAATACTATCCATGGAAACATCGGTGTGAGAGCGTACACGCTTGTCGTCGTCGCTGTGTGAACTTATTTGGCTACGTTGCAGCTCGTTGGTATGTGCTCGGCTTCGCGGGCCATCCAAGGACATAAGACTTGAACTGGACGTTGTCCGGGAGCGAAGTCTGGTCATGCTAGCACTGGACACTGTAGAGGAAGAAGAGCAGAGTCCTTTTATTATACTGTTTGAGCCTTTCAGTGAGCAGTAGTCTCATCCCCCCCCACACACACACACATTCAGAGGTGGTGCTTGTTAATAAAGTGAGATTTCAGGAAAGTTATATGAATTAATTTTTTGCTCATTGCTATTTCAGAACATTGCCTTGACCTATATAAAATCCAGCTGCTAAATTAGTGATTTAATGAAATAAAGACCATCACGAACAGGGAATTGAGATATTGAGTTAAATGCTGTCATCATTAATGGTTGGCGGTTCATTATCACTTACAATATCCCATGCCCTGGATGAAATATTTGAAGGCTTCAATCACTTTGGCTGGCTGTGGAGAGAAAGATCATAACTATTAGGAGAGAATTTACATTATTCTCAAAGCAGCCAGTAAAATATGTTTTCACACCTGATCCACTTGAGGAAGCCCTCCGCAGTCCGACATCTAGAGGAGGACGAATGAGAAAGAAATATGCACGATTCACTCTAAGGTTATGAACTTATCAGCACCACAGTTTTAAATAAAATACATCAGATATTGCACGTGTGTTTATTTTTGAGTCAACCAGTTATCCAGTTACCTTAAGCAGTGTGGTTTTGGTGGGGTTGAGCTTAGAGTTGCAGTCCACCACAGCATCCACAGCTGGAGAATTATCTCCTACAATGAGCAGAGTGGAGCACCTACACACCAACAGGAAGATGAAACAGTCAGAGAGACTAAACATGTGGTCGGGATTGACTTGGCCTGTTGCAAAGATGCAAGCCTGTGACGGGCAAATGACAGAATTAAAAGAGGTGATTTTGTAGAAGGGTCATTAAATAAGTAAAAGATTCTGTATGAAGACAAATGGTTTTACTAACTTGAGAGTCCTGACGTTGATGTTTCCTCCAGGAACGGGTCTTTCCACCTCAAGAGCGTTGCGGTGGTTGTAGGAGCGGAAGAACTGATTGACATTGGCCTGGTTCATTGTTGTTGTGATGCGGTGGCGGTATGTGGCGATGAGGTCGTGATTGGTCAGGATTTCTTCCTATAAGTCGGAGACAGATGTTCTGTATTTAGCAGTTGCTGTGTATATATCTTAAGTCATCTTCATATTTTAATTTAAATAAATATATTTAATATATATTATGTATTACTTCATCTTATGATGAGCATTTCAGTTTTTCTTCTGAGGCTAACTAAAATGAAACACTGTAGAAAAGGCTTGACAACTTGCCTTTCCAAACAAGTGTGCGATGATAGTGTCTGGTAGAGTCTGGGTCCATCCAGTGAGCTGTAACACAGTTTCACCAGGTGAAGCGACCTTCATTTAGTAATCTTTAATGCATTGACATTAGGGCTGTTTAAGAACAATTGAAAAAGTGAACAATGAAAAAATGTTTCATTGCAGCCGGTGTAAAAATGAATCAAATTTAGGTTGTATCTGACTACATATTGTGTACCTTGGTTGCAAAAGTATCCATTAAGCCTTCAGCACTGGGGTTGATATTGATCAGAACCAATCCATCCACCAAATCAGGGTGATTCAGCTGCATGCACAGATGAAAAGATCTGACTCTGTTAGTCTACATCAGCCACAAAAGAATTTAAAGTACTCCCAACATCTCCGATTCAAGACATGTCTGACTGTATCTTTGTAACTTGACTCGAAGAGCAAAGATCCGCATAGAGAAGCCCAGAAGATCAACAACAAAAATGGCAAACTGTGCATAAAATCTGCTTTATTTATTTTTAAAAGATTCAGACTCACAGCAAATCTAGCCAGGATGTATGCTCCCGCTCCCACTCCCAAACCAATTACACTACGCAACCTGCAAAACACACAGCCAAAGATTAACTGGTCCAGATTTAAATCAGAGGTGAATCCAAGTAAACTCTAAGGAGTGTCAGGTCTGCCTTACCCAAAGTGTTTGAGGACAGACGGCAGTGCTTCAGACAGTTGGTCCATGGTAGGGTAGGTGTTACTGAGGGGTCAAAAGTCAGTTTTCCCATCAGCATTCACGGGATCTCATATCAAGTAATTTTACAATCCCATTATTAATTCTTAAAATACACATGTGGTGTGAGAAATGGGTAACAAAGACCATCTACTAACCCAGCAGGCAGAGTTTTGGCTGCCTCATGCTGTCCTGGGGCTTCAACGTGACAAACAGGAAAATGTCTGATGATTTCGTACATGTCCTGATGGTTGAACAGAGTCTCAAAACAGGACTTGTCTGCGGCAAGAAAACACAAAAATGGTTAAGCAGTAAACATTTTAAATATAAGAAAAAATAAGAAGACAAGTAAACAATTTGTAGACACTTTAGAAAGTGTGAAACAGGCCCTTACACGATAAAGCCAACATGCTGTGGTCCAGATACAAAAATAGATTAGAAATGGAAACATGTTTGGACATCATTGCTCCAGGGATTTCCACCTTCATTTCATTCTGTCCTTTGGTATTTAGATCTATTCTATTTATTTAGAGGATATAGAGATGACAAAAACTGTATTGCTGGGGCTGCTACTTACGGTTCAGTCCAACATCATGAAAGGTCAGGATGGCAGGGTGATTTCCCTTTACTGTCCCGGTCATGATACAATGGACATTCCCATACTGAGTCTCTACATGCTCCTCCTGAAACAAAGCATAAATGCATCAAAGAAGAGTCCAAATCTGGAACTAGTATTCTGTATAAGTTACCCACAAATTAAAACATGTTAAATATAGCCAGGATCTCCTCAAAGTGCTTTACTAGTATAGCCTAAAAGCAAATGATATCAATATAAAAGTCATTAAATTTGCACTGCAATCGCAGCAGATTTACCCCTAACCTCTTAAAACCTGAGCTCTTGTTTTGGCATGCATGGGATGCAACAGATCTGTGTTGAGCAGAATGAGGTATAATTTGCAGAAAAGCAAACAGGGTCTCAAGAAGTTGAGGTTATCCAAATTTCACTATGATACTCACAGTGATTTGGGGGTTGAAGACAGAGTCACAGTCATTCTCCTCCAGAACCATGGCTGCTGTTGCAGAGGAACGTCCCTTAAACTCTTTATAATTTTTTTTCTTTTTCCTTGTTAGTATATCTGGATATTTCTGTAGTCAGATACCATGTGAGAGTTGGAGCTCTTTGTGACACACTGTGTGTTTGAGCTGGTTTTTATATCCCCTGACTCTGATCTGTTTTTTAAGCCCTGACCGCAACCTGGTTCACACGCGACCGAGTGGACCTTCCTTTTTTAATCTGACCTCAGGCTGCTGTGTTTCCACAGAACCAGCACAGGATTTGTACAAGGAATTATCCCCAACAGTTGCCCTGCAAAATCAAAACTTATCTTTAAGTGTCATTGCATTGCAATCAGAAATATTGCATGCAAGCAAGTTAGAGTTGATCCTATGACTTTCAATTTTAATTGAGTTATGATTTTTTTCTGGGATTTTAGTACACCTCTTTTTAAAACTTTGAATATGTGATTTACTTTTTGTACAATTGTAAGTGAAATGTAATAAAACAACTCTTAAATCTGACCCATAGGGAGCTTGATAGACTGAAATAAATTCCTAATAATAAAAAAAAATGCTGTGAGGCATCACTGGAATCACAGCACCTTCAGACGTGAGCTGAGCAGGTCAGCTGTTTAATCTCAGTGAGCCATCTGTTTCTCACAGCAAAGCAGTCTGCTCTCCGTCGCTAAGCTTGACCCTTCTGTTAATGCAGGGTATTATGATTTAATGCCGATAGCTGCTCTGAACTCAGCATGTCATGTAGAACTTGCAAAGACCTGCAGCTAAAATGATCTCCAGTGGCCTACAATTTCAGTCCTCTCGACAAAAACATCCAACAAACATCTTTTACCAAAGCAATCCATGCTAAGCTTGAAATATTATTTCAATAGCCTAAAGCCGCTGCAAGAGCTCATCTGAGAACAGTGCCTTTTAATTTGATCTCAGTGGAACTTTAAAGCACTTTAAGAGAGATATTTTCAACCTCTTCTATATTCAAAAAGAATCACCAGAGGAGAAGCTCCACATGTTGGATTGGGGAGCTACCTGACTGGGGATTAGTGCCTCTTTCTGGGATTGAACCAGGGATCTTTTGCTTGTTGGGCAAAAGTGAAAACCAAACATGAGGATAAAATCAGATGTGATCCTTTGAGAAAAACAGAGAAGACAAATGTGAAATTCTAAATTCCATGAATATGAGCCTCCAATTTTACATATCAAATTTTTGGTTTTACAAAAACAGCAGCAAATTTAACATCTGCTTAAAAATAAGTTTCCAAGTGAAGCAATGCCATTTTTTCAGGTCTGTTTCAGCAAATATTATTATTCTTAAAAGAAAATATTTACATATCAATGCTGCATGTACTGTGAACCGTGTGTTTCTGAAGATGTAGATTAGAAATCAACACTTTAAATATGCTATCCTTTTTTCTGTTTGGGTGTTTTGAGGGATTTCTGGCTACCTAATGACTAAGACAAACTCTACCATTAAAAACGTTTTTGATGCTATGCATCAGATATCAGATATTTGTGCTGCAGCGTTTTTACTAACAATCTGAGCAGTTCGTTGAGAAAATGCAGTATCATATCTTGGCTTACAGCTGGTTTTAACAGTACTGTACATGATGTATTTTACTGGTACACATCAATCTTGACTTTCATACTACTATATGGTCCAGATAACAAATAATATTGTATTATATACTACTTCTTTTCTTTCAAGGAAAAGAAACCATTATATTATAATGAACTGAAAATGTGAGGTACACAATGTACACTGAATTTTCTCATGATGGCAAAAAGTCAGAAGTTTCTGGATTAACTTTAGAAAATCATTTCTGGTTAAAGACGAATCCTTTCATCTTGACGAAGTGCATCACATTTGCAAAGTTGATAAAACTCCAATATGCAATTAGAGAACGACAGAGGAACGACATAGGTACCTGGGATACTTCCCAGACAGTAACAGCTGGTTGAACGGAAGTAGAACAGACTGTATCGTGACTGCCTTCTTTAGGAGATATTACCACCACTGCTTTAACCATACACACAGAGCCAGATGAGAGCTGTGCGCACAGGAGATTTAATCCATTTAGTGGTGAGTGAAGAGTGGAAGGCAGCAGATGGGTCTTACCCAGCTTCACGTCACTGTGAAGTCAAAATATCAAAATGTGAACCCTGGCTAAACTCTGCCCTGCTAGCCTATTTCTCCACTTACCACTGGCACAGATACTAGTGCTTATCAAAACAGAGTAAGTGACTGTATAGGAACAACGATAACATGAAATTGTTTTAGCAGTTAACTATTCAAAAGTGGGTTGAAGAAGTAGAAGTAAATGAACATAGCTGGGTGAAACTACTGAAAAATGCAATCTACATTTCTTATTAGATGTACAGTAGTTCACATTTCTTTGTTAGATATGCAACTTCAAAATCAAAAGATAAAGCAGATTTTACACAGTTTGCAGTGTATCCTGCAAACCAGATCATCATAATCTTTATTCCGTGCTATAAAGACTGTTAGATTTCACGACGTTATTCAAAGTTTTTGGGCAATCAGGAGAAACATGCAGGGTAGGAGGTGGGGTACATCTCAGATAATGGCACAATGTCCAGCTGACTGAGTGAGCAGGCGAATGGCTGTATGTGATTGCAGCCACTGGTGCTGTTATTGCTACTTGCGATTCAAAAGAATATGTATAAACAAAAAAATATTTAAATAAAATATAATTAAATATTTCTAGCTATTTACAATGTCTGTTCAGTGTTTTACAAATAACGCTTTTGCTGCTGCCAAATACATTAGATTATTAATTAAAATTAAATGTTTGTGCTGACTTGTGATTCTTTTAAAAGGTATTAGTTGAATTAGTTACGCAGTTTTAAAACATTATAGATCAGTGTTTTAACTTTACTGGGCATGGGGACAAAAATACAATTTGTGTTTTTAAGCCAACTGTGGAAAACATAAAGTAGTTGTAGATATTGTTGTTTCTTATTTTTGTATATGTCATATGAAACTTGTTTTCATTCACTTTTAATGGAAAAAGGGGAAAAAAGTGCACTAGATCTGCCCTACAATCATCATTTCCCTGCAGAGTCCACTAGATGGAGTGCCATTACAATCTTCTGGATGCTGTGTCGTCAAACGGCATTATGAAGAAGAAGGCCAGCTTCACCTTTCTTTATTTTTCACCTGATAAACCTCTAACACCCCATTCTCAATACCCTGTTATTAGTTTGTGTCGATGCTCTTATTTCGTCTGTGTGACTTCTACACACTAACTGCCTTTAAATCTATTTTAAACGTTTGGGGAAGAAATTTGAATTTTTATTCACTTTGATAATCACCTGTGGGCGTGTCTGCTAAAACACAGACGGGAGATGAGGTGAGATGGAAAACGAGTTTATGAAAGGAAAGAAATCTCGGCATACGGTGAAGTAGTTGTTCAGTCATAAGTATCCCGACACTTCCATCTTCACTGCTTCGCCTCAGGGCACCAGTGTCACACGCAGAGACGCTAAATAAGCACATTAACGTCCTATTGCTGATAATTGGTTGTCACGGTAACCGTTAAGTCTGCAGGTGAAAGTCTTGCTGTCCGACTCTCAGCTTTCAAAACACTCTAATTATACACACAGCAGCTGCTGCCGCTTGCCACACGCTCAACTGCGTGTGCGCATGTGTGTTTTTCTTGTTTGACGTGATTGTGAGGGAGCACTCGGTGCGTGGATGTTTACGTGCAAAACCACACATTACCCTTTCCATGCATATATATAAACCATTTGTAAGAGTATATGTGGTAGGATTTTCATGACCAAACTTTTAAAACAAGCAGGAATCCTCTGAAAGATGGATCCAGGGTAATACGAATAAGAAATCATTTATTTAACCCATATTTAGGAAATTCTTTTGTGAAAGCTATTTAAATAGAACTATCAGGTTTGCAGTGTGTATATACTAATGTGTGTAATAAATTCTATACTTATAAAGTAATATAAGTAGGCTGTATCATGAGTTTATTAAAATATAAAGTCTGGCATGGTGTGGCTTTGCGCTATTTCAAAGTCATTAACACACACTTGTTATGTGTGAAATATGGAGACTGATTACAGTTTAAGAGCTACAACTAATGGATGAAAGTACACTTCCTTTTCATATCCAGTTGCTTTTTTTAAGCTGCTAACGGAATTGCATACGATTTCACACAGTGGCGGCATGAGTGGTGTGCCTGGGAGACAGATTTACAAACAGCTCCAGAGCAGGGGACCCACTTTGTAATTGTGTATATGAAGATGGTAAATCAGTGTAAGCTTGCCTGCACTCCCACTTCAGGCATTGATTATAAAAGAAGGATTAAGAACTAGACTTAATGGGACAGTCAAATAGTCCAAAAGTGTGTTTATGAAAGATTAAACTCTTAGTAATTTGCAGCTTCGCATGGGCTGATGTATGGATTTAACAGCTGTAAATATACTGCAGGAACACAGTGGTATTGTGGTGCAATAACAGATGTCACATTAGTGGTAGTAAGTTTTTAACTTATTCATAAAATAATTTTATAGCTTGCCCCCCCTCCCCCGCTTTTTTATTTACTCATTTATTTCACCAGACACAACAACAACAACAAATACAACAGGGTGAAACCAGAAGCTCCTGAGCCAGATTAGAGCTCCTCTGTGGAGGAGATCTAAATGGAAACAAGTCATTGCGTAATTCCAAGAATGGCTTACCAGGAAAGATGTAGTGGAGCATTTACTCAAGCTTGTGAGGAATAACTAAGAAAAGCAACAACAACAACAACACTTCTTACTTAGGCACAATCACCACTGTGATCACCACAAAACTTTTTTTCTTTTAACTCAAGCAAACCTTCCAGCAACTACCACTATAACAGCTAGAATTTATATTAAAATTGTTACTAGGTTAAAAACTTTAACAAAGCCCCCATCAGTTCCCTCAGCTAACATATATTTGTATAAACATGTCTTTTAAACATGTGGCAAGGTGGTTAGCACTGTTGCCGCACAGCAAGAAGGTCCTGAGTTCAATTCCACCAT